AAAAAAAAAAAAAAAAAAAAAAAAAAAAAAAAAAAAAAAAAAAAAAAAAAAAAAAAAAAAAAAAAAAAAAAAAAAAAAGTATTTATGAATGTGTGTTTATGCGCAGCAGCAAATATTATTTCGTTAATGTTCAGGGAAGCCATAAACATAAACATATCAAAGTAGTGCTCTGTGCTGTAACTTCAATCAACTTCAACCAAGTCAAAGTAAACAGGCACCAGCAAGCTTTCGGTTCTATCAGCTGCAGCATCTTCGTTTTCGCTTCGCTCTACGTAGCTAGTTAGGGAAATGTGTCGGTAATATATATTAGCGTAATTTGTGCATTAGTTGCGGCAACAGCTGTGCGCCGACGGCGCTCGATTGCAGCGTGCAACATGTTACACGCATGCTATATGCTTAACGTTGAGCGACATGTGTTGCAAGCACTCATATGCGTCGGCGACCCACATTCGCACAGGGTACGCTCTCACCGAAGCAAGGCTAAATTCTTATATAAATTTCAGCTGCAGGCAGTTAAGCGGAATTGGTGCGCGGCGCTCGTGCAGTTAGTTTCGCCTTTTTGGCGTTGAATGGCTAATAATTCTAAGGGTGTTAGCGAGCACAGGTGCGGCGGTTCACTCAACCCCCGACGCTAGTACACATGTCTGTGGGTATGCATGCACGAATACCAACCGGCCACTGTTTGTATGTGCCCGAACATGCCCGCAAACTCGTCGTCGCTGGACTGGTAAATACGATCGGAACTTATGTAAAACGCATCGTCGCTATAGTACTGCTGCAGCAGGCTGCTCGTCTCATCGTCGATGGTGTCTATATAAAAACAAAAGAGAACAAAACAAACAAAAAAAAAAAAACAAAAAGAGTTGTGCATAAAGTGAGTGCTCAGTAATGGTTATGATGATGGCGATGATAATGGTGATGAGGAAACTGTGTTGATGGCTGCACCGTGAGTGTTTTCATGGCAACATATGTGAAAATTTCGACTAGAAAATGCTAGCTAAAGTACGAAAATATTTCATGGTTTGCGCAAATAAACAATAAATAAAAGTAATGTTTCTCACGAATTATGAAAATAAGGGATAAGCTGGACTACGTAGCACTGTGTCTTTCCAATTACGTTTAGCCGAACGAGTTTTGTTTATTAACCGATTAAGTTTGTGAATTCTACCATGTGTTTCAGCATATGCGATCTTCGCGCATTCTGAGGCGTCACACTTCTTGTTCTCATGTATGTATCGCCTTTCAAATTTTCGTTCTCGTGCACATTGCGCTTCCGTGCTGCCATGAAAGTGTTAATAGCGAAGTTGCTTGCAACTCTGATTCACAGGCTGAGTGCAACTGCTGCTCATGTGGAGCGCGATCAACATTGTTGCACATACGCATGCAGTACTTACTAATAACTATGTGAAAAACTTTAATTTAGTCGTCGCCTTGGCAGCGCTCCTTGATTGCAGCATAAACAGCATAAGCGCTATACGAGCAGTAATCTAACTTCACACAGCCAGCTTGAAAGCAGCGAGCGTAAAAAGTCTGTGATATGAATTCTAGCGAATCACACACACACGCTGCGGCACTTGTCATTGTATTGTGACTTCAACATTTCCAAGTGGTTTTCACTTGTAACTTTATGCAAAACAAGCGTGGCGCTCATTACAATAACAAAGACTGGGCACGCTAAGTATATAAATATTATTTATGCGACAGCCCACGTAAAGTGTGTTTTTCGAGTTTGCATGTGTGTGTTTTTGTGTGTTTTTCTGCTCATGTGTTTGTGTGAGTGTGTGTGCATGCGTATAAGAGCCTTAGTTGGCAACGAAACTCAGCTTCATTTCCAACTTTTGCTTGTTTTGCGTCACAATTATTACTTTTTATTTTGTTTTTTGCTCTTGCTCTGCGCTGCAGTTAGTCTTTTGCAACTTCATCCATCCCACTGATGATGCTATTGTTGAAAAATGTTCGCTGTTCTACGTGCACTCGTGTGCGAGCATTTAAATATGTATATTTTTGTTTATTTTATTTACTGCTGCTGCTACAGTCGAGCGCAATTTTCATTGTAAATTTAGTTGAAATGTAATTTTATTTACATTGTTGTTGTATGCGCCGTGCGTTGCGGGGGCGAAGTAGTCATCTTGTGTTCACAACGCTTTTTATGGTTGTCGCCTCATTAACCTGGAAATAAAAGTTACTCATACGCCACGGTGTTTCGTTGCAGAAAATGCGGTCGTCAAAAGTTTGGCTCGAAGTGCTTACTGCTTGCTGCATACAAATGCAAAAACAACTACAAGTGTGTTGTTTAAAGCGCGAAAATTACAAATGTAATATATTCCAAGAGGTATGCGATCCTTTGGACCCAACCACAGCAAGCTGGGACGACTTGTTTTGCTCATGCTAAGAGCGCTTCGAAACTTAAAATCGGTAAAATAAAGTATGAATTCGTAGTTGCAGCATTCGCGCACGAATTATTTAATTCAAAAATTTAACTGTTTATCAAAAGCACACGAATATGAGTCGGCGCAGGATCGATGTGTGGCACGTTGTATTTCGTTCGCTAGGAGAAGTGTCTTCATATTGAGTTCAGCATATTTGTAGCACACACTTAAATTTGTTGTTGCGTAATTAGTTCATGTGCGCGCCGAGAATTCACAATGTTTATCGTATAATTTTGTTTTTGTTTGCCGTATAATTACTGGCGGCTTTAATGCGGTTCATTTAACGTAATTGTTCATTATGGTTTCATTCAAAGAGCATATTTTTATTGGCTCTATTAGCCATGGGATTACATTAACGTTTCATAACGTGTATCGCACATAAGTTGCATTTTATATTTAAATGTAAAACGCAATTGCTTTTACCATTGAATATGGTGGCGGTGCCTCGGAGTGTGTGAGAGGAATTCGCTTTTCAAAACGCTACAATAAATTTATAATCTTTCGCATATATGTATATATATATATATATATATAAACGTGTGTATTCGCTACTCATATACAATATAAAAGAGGTTGAAGCGCCATTTTATTGCCACTTACCCACAATGTTTAAGTTAACTGAAAAGCTGCGCACCGGTTGGGTCGATATTTGGCACTCGTAGACGCCGGCATCCCGCTGCTGTGCCCATTTTATTTGCAGAGTCCATTCGTCGATATCACGGTGGTAGGAAGTTTGAAACCGCTGATCTGTTGTGTATGTGTAGGTGCCCACGGTGAGGATGTGCAGGTCGCGGTGGCGTATCCAGGCAACCTGAAAGTAAATGCGAAAAAAAGCATTGACGTGAGGACACTTGGAAAAGCCTGAGGTAAAAATGTAACACCTGAGCACAGTGCGCACGCATTTGTGACGGTCATAAGTGCTGCAGTCAATTGTCTCCCCTGTAACAAATTTGTTGCCCCAAATATACGTTACAATTCCACACCTTTACTTTTTTTAATGTGTTTATTTGCCCCAGAGTAAACAATCTCTCTGTCAATTATTTTGCATAAAAATAAAACATGTAATCTTCAGGTAACTTATTACATAGAGTAATCAGAAGTACTCATTGCCAAATTAGTTTCTCTCTTTCTCTCTCCTTAACATACAGGTATATTGAGTTTCACATACATTTCGTTAAACAATTTGCAGCAAAAATGTAGAACACTTTCATTGCCAACAACTCAACGCCTGTGTGGCAACCTACATTCAAGTTGAGGTTACGAAAACCGCATTTCTTAGAGTGCAGGCTTGTGTAATGCTTCTCCCATGATATTTAAAGCACACAAGCTGATATCATTTAGCCAACGTAGATAAATGCAGTAAAATTCATTTTCTGGCTAACTATACTTTACCTCTCTGGCTATGTGTGCCATTGCAACATTGAGGCAACACTAGGTTGTTACTAGTTGGAACTGGCGGAATCTTAGAGACAATTATTTAAGCGCGAAGCAGAGGAAAACAAAAATCAATTATTTATTAAAAAAGATATTATTACTAAAATAAAAAGTCGGTGATTTTTAAGAAAAAAATTACAATATTTGCCTTTGATTTGGATTGCTTTTGTTTTTAGACTAAATGGTTGCAGGTTCTGAAGAAGGTCATTCAACACTGTTCCCTAAGTTTTTGACAAGAACGACGCTTACAGTATGGGTTATCAACCTTGCACAATTCAAGAGAGGCTCTGTCATGAGAGGCCGAGTTTTGTTGAGGGGTTACATGGGTTAACGGATTTAAAAAAATCGACTTTTTTTATTATTTTTATAAATTCTACAGCACCTCTAGAATATTGTCCTAGAGTTATTTCAAGTTGATTCAAGTAATGGTTTCGGAGATATGGCCTTGTAATCTGGTGAGCTCGTCTTTAGACGCGTTTTTCTCGAACTACATAACCAATCATGATGAAATTTTACATAGGCCTTTGAGATTCAATTAATTCTTAAATACTTGCGAGAAGTAATTTTTTCGATCACAACTACTTTGTCAAAGTTCTAACTTAAGGTTTCAACAAAAGACCTATGCTTTTTTCACTTTCATTTATTCTAACAGGCGTTTCAGTTTACAAATATTTACATACAGCTCCTTTAGATGTCTACACAATAAATTATTTGTTTGTATTTTAGCTCTATTGTTTTATAATGTGTAATTGGTTCATGCATAAACCACCCTAATGTTGCAAACAAGCTCTGCAAATCCACTTCACTTACTAAAGCACAGAGTGTAATTCTCTGAGATAAATGTGCCGGAGAGCTGATGATATTCGGACAATTATTTATAACCCAAAATGTTTCCATTACAAAAACGTACATCTTTCGATAATCCACACGCACACACGCACACATTGGCACCCAAACGAAAGCCACATCAGATTAAACATTCAAGCATACGAGGCCACTTGTGTGTGAAGGAACACCTACCAGGCTCTGCCTGTGTGTGTTGGTGGCTAGCACTTTCGCTTAGCTGCGCGTAAGTACATAGAAATTTATGTCGGTGCAACATATTTCAAGCGTTCAATGTACTTGTTATGCGAAACCACCAATGTATTTCGAATGAATTCAAAGAGAATTCGAGAAAAATTATTTTGTGTAATACCTGGACTAAATTTCTGAGAATTGAAAAAGTAAACCCTTTAGTGTGAATGCGATTTTGATATTAAATTTTGTTATGCACACCTGCATATGTGTGTGCGAGAAATTTCTATTGACATTTCTTGGCTTGTTGGCATAAAATCTTTTCTCAGGTTGGTATGTCCACACTTTCACACCAACAACGATTACTGGACAGCTCAAGCTAGGCTTAAAATGCACAAAATGTGTAAATGTACTTCTGCTGCTTAGAAGCTCCTGCTAACAACGATACATGTGTATGCATCGGGCCTTTTGTACCTTTTTCTTTTAGTATTTCACACCCGGTGAATTTTATTTAAGAAGTTCCTGCTGCAAACAAAATGTTGAAGAAACTTTGGCGTTCAAAAACTTTTCTAAGGAAATGCTGTAGGTATACCAACTTATTGCACGAATTTCGAACTGCAGGTTACGCAGGTAGTCACGGCACAAAGTGGCGAATTTTGTAATTATAAATTGTTATTTTGTGTTCAATGTACAATCGTATCTATATATATTGCTATATATGTATATATATTGGTAGTCGAAAAAGTCTCTTCGTTTTTCTAATCAAAATTCAACTTATTTTTTTTTCTTTTATTATTTATAATGAACTTTAATGAACCAAATACATATGTATGTACCATTTTGGTCGATGCCTTTCTCCGCTGGAGTCTTCATTCCGTCAGTGTAAAACTTTTATGTTTTCTCGGCAAAAAAACTGCGACAAGTAATTTTCACAGGCTTCTCTTGAAGCCAACTTTACGGCATTAAGGGAGTTCTGCATTGAAGGAAGCAAATATTAGTCCGATGGTGCAAGGTCAGAGCTGCACGGCGGATGCAGTAAAACTTCCCAGACAAGCTCTCGCAGTTTTTCCCATGTCATGAAAGATCTGTGTGGTGTTTCTGTGGATCAGTTATGGCCGTATTTTCCACTGCTTACTTCAATCTCATTAGTAAAATGTAGAATCAATCGTTTGCCCAGTTAGAGTAGTTCATAGTGGATGATTCCTTTCCAATCCCAGCAAACACTCAGCATAATCTTTCGAGGCGTCTATCCTGGCTTTGTTGAGTTTCATCACGCTTCAACCATAATCTTTTTCGCACATTATTATCGTATTTCATCCTCTTTTTGCCTCCTGTTACCATTCGCTTCAAAAATGGTTCGATTTCATTTGGTTTCAGCAAGGAAACGCAGAGTTAAATTTGGTTCATTAAAGTTTTCACAGACAATTAATTGGTACCCAAACAACGAGCTGCTTTTTGTGGTCAGCCTTTTGACGATGAATGTTAAGTTCCTAAGCAATATCATGGTAGCTTATGTGTCGGTCCTGGTCAATCCTTTCTGTAATTTCATCACATTTTTCAACGAAAGGCGAATCTGCGAGAGCTTGTCTGGGAAGTTTTACTGCATCTGCCGTAAGGCATTGCACCATCGGACTACCATTTGCTGGAGCGAGGTGCATCTTTCACACCGGAATTTCCAGAACGGAAACATGGGCAACATTGTTTGTGCTATACGAACTGATACAACATCGTCTCCGTCAACGTAACAAATTTCATTGTTGGCTGCGTGACATTCTCCCTTTTTTTTATGCAACAATTTCAAAATAGAGCGAATTTTTTCAATATTTTCTCGTTAACTTTCGAATAGGTGTAACAATTTTTCACATTCCCCGATTTTAATTTCCAACACTATATGGTAGGACACAATGCATTTGGTAGCTAGAGATATGCGACTGCAACGACATGTATTGACAAAATACGAAATTTTTGACTTCCCAATGTATTGGTTTGCTTACAAAATTAATTATAAATATTTGGAAAAATATATGAAGAAGAAAAAATATGTTGCACAATATTTCAACGCTTTTGAGGAGCTGCCCAAGTCAAAGGATCTTACCACTTCTCAAAGCATTTAAGTCAAAACATTTAAAAAATGAATGGCGTGCCAACTTTTATGCATAGAGACCGGTTAACACGTGTAATTTAAGAACAACTATGCAATCACGCCGCTCTCACCCACCTCAGTTAGCTAATATATCCCTTACTGCTACTCGAAAAAATAATAAACAGATTTGCCCACTCACTTGGCACTGCAGGCGTAGTCGCAGGAGTTTGCACAGCTTTCGGCATCAAGCACCACGCACGGGCGACGAAGAGTGTTGGTGCAAATGAGCAGTGCAGCTGCTGACCTGCCAGCGGAATATGAGCGCACACACAAACAAATGCACGTTGCCTTGCACACCTTCGCCCCGCATCCCTGCAGCTGCATGCCAAAAGGCTTAAGACACAAGTGCCGCACTTTATGTCACATCATAAATCTTATACAGCATTCGTGCGCACTTAAGTGCTGGCTGGCAGCCACGACGGCGCTCTCGGCGCTCTTGGCGCCGCTACCCTGCACTGGCTGCGCGCAGCATCTGTCCTGAGTCGCCAGAAGCGCGAACTGCCTGCACATAAACACTTGCTTCGACCGCCGCTACTGGCAGTGCGAGCGGTGGTGAGAACAAGCGACGCCAAGCGACTGCGGGGCGTGGATGCATGTGTGCAGCTGAGTGCAGGTGGGAGAATGTGTCCGTGGCAGGAAATGAAGGAAAAATTGCTACAGACTCTCGGAAGCTGTTCACCAGTGGCGGGTCTGTTTGAGCGTTCGCTCGTCTTAAAGTGATCTGACATTTTTTTTAGTGACGCGCTTTAAATGAACGAATTAGGCATGATATTGAAGTGTTAGGCAATTCAGCAATTTTTGGTTCCATCTGTCACGAAAGAATCATACTTCAGTAAGTATTAAGAATAATTTTAGGATCCACCCGAAATTAGCTTTAGTCAAATTTCGCTGTTTTCTCACCCTCTGAGCTTGATAGTTTTATTTAACGACGCCTCTTTTTGTAGCTTCTTTCTACGCTGACAATGTCACTGGCAATGCTCTTTTCTTTAACGGCATAAAGAATTGCTCCCAAACAAGTTTTTATTATTAGCTGTTTGCTCTTTTTGCACAATTTTCTACACGACTTGTTGTTGTTGTGCACGTAGTTGGCACACGTGACGCGACTGTTGTTTACCTTGCTGCTCTGTTGTATTACGATTTGGATTTTCGGCTGTCGATTCTTGAAATATTTCGTTGGCATTCTGGCAGGCAGCTCGTTCTACTCGCAGACGCTCACCGCCGTCATTTTGTATTTGCGTAAACGCGAGACGACATGACGTCGTGTGTTATTTTCCTTATTCATAGTCACTGCAAGTTCGGAACAAAGTAACGATTGCGACAAATGACACAAAGAGCACGTGATTTGGCAGCCTGCGGAAGAATTTCCGATTTATCAGTGCGGAGGCGCCAAGGTCTTTCTTTGGTTGTGTTTCCTATTATTGGATGTGGGAGCAAGTGCGCATACTTGATCGGATTGAGTGTTGATTCTTTAACACGTTTGAAGCAAGTATCTCACTTCTCTTACAAGCAAACAGTTTTATACTGAAAATACCACAAAATTCTATTCTCATACTCTTTTCTGCAAGGTAATACTTTTGAGGAGCTACAAATCGTTAGGCTGAGAATGAAACTCTGGCTTACCGAAGATTTCAGTATTAAAGAGGGTATTCTGGTCTAAAGACACAAGGACAGTTTTTTTTTGGATTTGGACAATTAATTGATGGAAAGTTTTATCCCGTGTCTTGTGTCATGTTAGAACAATGTACCAAATTTGATCGAAATCGGTCGGGCGGGTTTCGAGATATGTGTTTTCACCTATAAGTGAGTGGTGCTTCTTCCATCCTCCAGTTTTTACCCCGCGTACCCTAAATATCTGTAATACCATCTGGGTGGTAAAATTGAATGTCTCAGGCCTATTTAGTTATTGATTTATGGCGTTTTTAATAGTTTTGAACGTTATATAGGGAGTGACTGGATTCATCATTCGATTTCATCCATTTTTATACCTTCGATAGGGATGCTCCTGAACGAATTTGGTTTTTGTAGTTTTAGTAGTTTAATTCAAATTAGATTTTTTATACTCTCGCAACAAAGTTGCTAAAGAGAGTATTATAGTTTTGTTCACATAACGGTTATTTGTAAGTCCTAAAACTAAAAGAGTCAGATATAGGGTTATATATACCAAAGTGATCAGGGTGACGAGTAGAGTTGAAATCCGGATGTCTGCCTGTCCGTCCGTCCGTCTGTCCGTCTCTCCGTGCAAGATGTAACTTGAGTAAAAATTGAGATGTCATGATGAAACTTGGTACAAGTATTTCTTGGCTCCATAGAAAGGTTAGGTTCGAAGATGGGAAAAATCGGCCCACTGCCACGCCCACAAAATGGCGGAAACCGAAAACCTATAAAGTGTCATAACTAAGCCATAAATAAAGATATTAAAATGATGGCACAAATACATTTGGCACAAAGGATCGCGTGGCCCCGCCCCTACTAACTTTTGTACATATCTCGAAAACTACTATAGCTATGTCAACCAAACTATATAGAGTCGTTTCTTTTAGGCATTTCCATATACAGTTCAAAAATGGAAGAAGCCGGACAATAACCACGCCCACCTCCCATACAAAGGTTATRTTGAAAATCACTAAAAGTGCGTTAACCGACTAACAATAAACGTCAGAAACAATAAATTTTACGAAAGAAATGTCAGAAGGAAGCTGCATCCAGGCTTTTTTTAAAAATTGAAAATGGGCGTGGCGTCGCCCACTTATGGACCAAAAACCATATCTCAGGAAGTACTCTACCGATTTCAATGAAATTCGGTATATAATATTTTCTTAASACCCTGATRACATGYACCAAATATGGGTGAAATCGGTTCACAACCACGYCTGAAATCTCGATTATCACTTTATCATGCGAGAGCATTAAATGTTCGGTGACACCCGAACTTAGCCCTTCCTTACTCGTATATCTTAATTTTGTGTTTGGTTACAGTACTTTATACGTTTTTGGTTAATGGCGTTTTGTGGGCGAGACAGAGGTCCGATTAATTTAAATAGATTCGGCCAATAGAACTTGCGAGATCGTGGGTATCGCTTTGAAAAAACAGCTTCAAGAAAAACGCGCTTAAAATTCGAACCAGTTTAAATGCCGGGAGAGCAAATATAGGTATATAGGTTCTAAGTTTCGTCCACAGCTTCTCAAACCGGTCCAGGTGCCACGACACTGAAACGGCTACAGCTGCGGAAATAATTTTAATTTCGAAAAGCTCTTGAACAATTAAACTTTGAAAACATAAGCTCTTTTACAGTTATTTTTCCGTCTTATTTATATCGCTGCATTCGAAGGTCGCTTTAAGCCACATTTAATTTGTAATGCGCCATGCATTTGTCTCTTGGAAAATGGGTATAAAGTAAGCGTGGATTAGTTTTAACCTTTTTGCGCCGAACACCGAAAATAACTTTAAATTAGTTTGTTTATTTTCAATCATGTTCGACTAACCGGAATGAATTAAAAAGTCAACTGCGGAAAGAATTGAAGCCCAAAAGGTAAATTAAATTCAAATGGAAAAGGGCCAAAGGCCAAACGGCAAACAGACTTTGTTGCGCACAGTCTGAAGGCGGAAAACCGAAAGGAAAAACGCAGACAAAGTTGGCATACATTTGTGAACTCTTCGAAAATATTGTGGCTCACGTGAATTCTGCTGTAGAGAACACTGAAAGCGCACAATATAAGGAAAACATCTAATTGTGTATGTAAATAATGGACCGCATACGATTCCCAGTTGTTTTTTTTTTTTCATTTTTGGTTTGTGTGTAGGTGTGCTTGCATAAAAGGGGCTAACTAGCCTTGGCAAATTAGAAGGTAAGCAAAATAACTTTTTACTTTACAAATCAATAACGGATAAGCAGAATAGTGTCATTTGTTATACAAAAGAAGAAAGAAAGACTTTTTATCGACAATTCTTAGACAATAAAAACTATTTCCAACTCAATAAACAACTTTAAATTTATGTCTCAAATATAGACATATGTGTGGAAATGATATTATTTAGCACGTTTGGTCACAGCTTAGTTCAAATTTGTATACAACATCAATAAACAGTCAACCTTCTGATGAAAAGCAAATGTCAGTTTATAGAAGAATGATAAGGAAAGATAATAACGATGTAATTGGGCGAAAATTTTGTAAACTAATCAAATTTATTTTCTTCTAAGAATATCTCCTTTAAAATGTGTTAAAGGGACATCTCCGCAGGATATTGCTATTCTTTGCTTTACGAGAACGCGCCGAGGAAGGCTAGCTCCTTCGGAAGTGTATACTGTATGCATATGTAACGTGAAGCCGCAAGAATTTCTTATGAATCAATCAAAATGTCGCATATACACGCGTATACACGAGTAGAATGGTGGCGATGTTGTCACCGAGTACAGGCCCCCTGCTGTCTTTCTTGGTGCCTGCGCATAAATTAGGTTTTAACAACAGCTTGCCGCTTTTCCTGAAAGGTGTTCGGCTTGTTGGCTTTGGTTTGCGTTAAACATTTTGTTGCTGTAGGTGTGTTTACAATTTGTTTCTGCGGTTTTGAGTCCTCAAGCTACGGCAGCGTTGTCCTAGAGGCATATGTTTAAGCGCAAGCATCGTTGCTACTTTTGCTGTAATTCATCACATTTTTCTATTTCCTGCATCATTTTATTTTAAGTTGAATTTCCGGAATTTGCTTTGAAGATTTTTAAATACCTCGCAGTATGTGGCACAAATTAAATTCAGGAAACATACGAAGTTTCTTAACAAAGACAGCTGCAAGAAAGTAATTTGAAGGCAAAAGCTTTATTCTTAGTTGATAAAGTGTTGGCTGAAAGGTTAACAAATTAATGGTCTTTGTTCTATCTCGAAACCGTATATACTATATTGTTCTGTCGTTTGATAAGAGAATCAACATTTTATGATTCAAAATACACTATATTCTTCAGTAAAATCTCCCTGAGCATTAATACACTTGCTCCAAAAGTCCTTCAATCTGTGAATCTCACGCCTGAAGTGAGAATCTGAAAGATGTGCAAAATACACTTCAACAGCCGTTGAGTTGATCTCATCATTTGATGGAAAACGCTTGTAACGTATAATTTTTTGCGTACGAGAAACAAATGGAAGTCGCTGGGGACCAAATCTGGTGAATACGGTCAACCATTGTCAAAATCCTCTTGTGACAAGGTGCATTGTCCTAATGAAAAAGAAGTTTTTTGCCTGCAAACCGGGTCTTTTTTCACGATTTTTTCCTTCAACTTTTCCAAAAGATTGCAGTGATATTGAGAATTAATTGTTTTACCAGTTTGCGAGTAAGCGACAAACCGAATTCCTCTCGCCTCCCCAAAACTGATGCCATAACACGGCTTGCGGGTAGGAACTCGTTTCGAAGCCGAACAACTAGGTTCAGACCACTTTTTAGCCTCTTCTTTTAATTCAGGACCATGGTGATTGACCCAAGCCTCATCCATACTGATTAATCGACACACAAAGTCCACTTTATCCTCTTTGAAATGTTCCAAATATTGCATTCCAATGTGTTTTTGTTCCCTTGTAGCGAATGCGGCACCCATTTTGCATACAGCTTTCTAAAACCCACAATCTCACTTAAAATATGGCTCACACTTCCTAATGAGATATGCGATCTTCCAAACCCATATCGTGTATTCCTTCAAATCCATTCAAATCCATCTTCTGCTAGTCTAATGAATTAATAGATTGAAACGAAACTTCACATACGTTTATATGAAGAGTGTATCAACGAAACTTTGGGTTAGCAGCAACGCCCTCTTTTAACGAACGACAAAACTTATTGAACAACCTGCTTCGATCTCTGTATTTGCCCCTAGCCACTATAAGGACTGTTCAAATCGGCCCACTGCAGGACAAACTGACTAATTAAACTCAAGATAAAGATCTTTCCATAGCCTTTTATGCTATGGGAACTTCACCTGTGAAGGGTATTATAGTTTCGGTGCAGCCGATATGTTTTTTGTTTTATGGAAACTTTGAGGCTGTAAAAGTAGCAAAGCTTTTCTGTTTGTCCTGCCAGCATATGTCAATTTAGGGGTTGTGTGGCTGTTTGGTAATAAGGTGAATAAAACTAAGCATATGTACTCACAGTCTTGTTCCCCAAATGTTTGACACGACATCCCAAATATGCTGATTTGCCCACCAGCGATGTTATGTTCTTCGGCATCGTCAGATCAAAAAATGGTTCGTTCCATCTGTGGCCATGCGGATAGTGCAACGGCGGCATGTGTGTTGGTTTTGCATCCAAATTATTGTGATTGTTGTTATTAACTGACAATCGCTGGTAGCACATTGTCAGGCCTGAAATGAAGAAATCGAAAGTGTGGCGTATAGTTAAAGGAAATAATAACGAAATATCATTTATAAACGGATATATCGTCACCTAAAATGCAAAACAACGTATCATCAAAAGAATCGAACTTGAGTTTTTTATTGCTTACAATTCACTTGATCATATTACAAATATGTTTTCAGCTTCCGCTATAAAAAACAGCCAATATATAACCCATAAATAAGCCACATTTAACCATTTTATAAACAAAAATCAAAATTTGAACATGTTTTAAATATGAATATACCGTTGAATATGACACCTATATATGTCAGATGTACGCATGCACCCCGAACTTCGTAGGACTGAATAGTTTAGTGATGGCTCCCTTATTAATGCCTCATTAAGATTTTCGCAATTTATTTTAATTAAAATTTCGTAAAATATAAATTTGTCTTATATATGTAAATTGTACGAAAAGCAATAAATGTGCATTTAATTGCAACCTGCCTTTAACTACATGCTTTTACTAAAGGGTGTTCTTTTTGAAGATGAAAAAAAAAAATCTTCAAATAAATAAAATAAGACACGGAAAAATTAATCAAATATCTGGCTTTATTAGTACGCAAATATTATGGGTCTTAAGAAGAGCATATTGTGGGTTCAATTTTGCAGATATAAAAGGAAAGATAAACAGATGGAACAAATCTCATATCTTAGAAGGGCTTTGAAACTAATTTTACTGTTCTATGCCGAGTTTAGGACATAACCACATTAAAACTGTGTTCGACAAATTCACCGAATATACGAGGATGACTTCAGTTCTTCCCTTCAGCTGAATTTTGTTGCCCAAGACCTCAAGACAATGCTCGAACGGTTGAGATCATGTGCTCATTCTGATAGCTGCTTTGACATCTATATCTCTAAGAAATACGGCACCTCTAATGAAACACCCTTTATATGGAAATATGTTCAGTTTAGCTCCACGCGACGAACGTGCCGTTATCCATTTAGCAGGTCATTACAGGCTAAGCAGCACTACTGTTAAATGCCACTTTAATACACAAACATATGGATTATCTATGCACTATGTGAGTGCATGTGTGTGTGTGTGTGTGACAGATGCAAAAAGTGTAAAAATATCACATGTTGGAAAATATTTGCATAATTAAAAACTGACACACGAATGGTTTAAAACAAACATGTTGATGCACTATTAAGCACAAACATATCGATGAATACTAATTAGTTCGGTTTAAATAGTTAATTGCTATTACGGTTATTGTCCACGGTTTATGTAATCCTTTGAATTGCATCCGAAGCAACTAAATACACATGTATTATGTATGTGCTCATGTTCAGATACCAATTATAGCTACAAAAACAACACCTGTAGGCAAGGTTAATATATTTAATTTGTTTGTGGTTTTTTGTTTTTTGTTTGTTAAGATATTGAAAATTTCATGGACATAGCTAACTTATAAATCAATTGACGTGGTTAACCCAAAACTGTAAACAAAATTACGCTTTTTTAACTTTTATGCAAAATTCTAATAAAGTATAAAAAGTATATAAGTAAAAATATTAACTATAATTTCTCTTAGCAAAAAGGCTTATACGAATCCTAGGTGCCGATTTTACTTTATAGAAACCTCTCTTACATAAACTTATTACCCACGAGACCTCTAAGAACAAAAATTGTCTGTAAATCCAAGATCTAGTAAGATCTACGACCTATTGGGCATTTATGTCATTTTGGACAGACCTAGGAAAGAGTTTAGTATTAAAAGTGTCAACAAACCAACTTTGCCTGATTTAATTCCATTTTTCAGTAAAGTATCCGAAATCCTAAAAACTATAATAAGACCCAATTTTTAAAGTAATGTTTCCAATATTTTTACGGAAAAAAAATGTTCAAAAAGAGAAAAACAATTTCTGCTAAATTTCATTTTTCAATTCTGAACCCTTATATGCCAATAGTCATGCTCGGCACGTAGCATGGAAGCGAAATATTTGTACACCGAATTGCTCCTAATTCAATTGCTGGAAGCGGCAAGCATAGTTTTAGAGAAATACTATAAATAAATAAATACATATGTTCGTGCGAACAGTCGCGAGCTGCTGCAAAGCTCCCGTCGGAAAATCAAAACCGAGTAGATTTAAGGATTTATTTGCAAAAATGCCTGGTGGATACAATTTAATTTATAAATATATTAAGCAAATATAGAATACTTAATTCAGTAACGGATTTCCGTAAACATGATATTGTAAAATAAGGGAATTGCCGAATAAGTTTTGAGCAGAATTCGTCGATGACTAAACAGTGAGGAGCAGTTAGGGAATCCTTTAAATGATGAAGCTTGACAGCTTTTCCTGAAGGAATTATTTCAAGACCGGGGCTGAAATGTTGTTGTTGTAACGGGCATCTCATACTCGTTAGAATCGTAAGGATTAGATAAGTTGTCATTCAACGGTAGGCCCAGAAAACGTCTTGTTTCGACGAGGCTGCACCCTAAGGAGCAGGTGTCAGATGTGTAGGGTTATAGAGAATGCAAAGAGGTGGCTAGTGTCATGCGGGGACTCATTGCACGCTAAACATATGTTTGTTTTGTCTGGGTTTATGCTGGACTAGAAGTTTAACATACTACATTATATAGAACGAAGCTGCGCGTGGTGGTTTAGTTCCAAGTACGCCATTCACTGGGAGGGAGTCGGTGACTCTATTAATGGCTCAACTGTGAATGGCGATCAGTGCATGTCTGCAGTTTCTTGCGACCGAAGTCAGGTAGGCGTATTGATTTATGTCGTCAGCGTAGTTGAGGAAGAACCTCCTGAAGCACCTGGGAAGCAATTCCGCTCAAGCAGATGACTGCAGGGATGTTGTCTCGGTAAACACTTCAGCTGAAACTGTTAGGGAGGAGTTAATTATGATCCTTAACTGGGGGCATGCGGGCCTCAGTATGCATGCGTTCGTTAGGAGACATCAAGAGGCATTTTGCCGTAGTCCAGAGTGCAGTATTCTGACATGTTTATACGTGTAACTTCCTCATCTACATTTCACTGCATCCAGGCCATACTGGTGCCTCGGCCAATTGCCTTGTATGTTTCCAACAACGATTCATTGTATTTTTTTCTAATTGGCTGCCGGCTAGCTTTTTGAGGATTTTATTGGGGGCTGTACTTCGGCAATAATCGCGGTTGCTTGAGGAGTGAAGGAGCACAGGCTGTTGAAAGTAACACCTAAAAACTTAGGGTTATTGACCGTCAGTTGACAGTTTGTGGCTGTGGTCGCTGGGAATTTAGTGGAGGAGAGTAGATCTAACCCTTTTATGTGTGAACACATGTCGTTTCTATTGTTTCACCAACTTGCATTGCGAAGTGTATTACAATAGCAAATATATTCATTAAAAATGTTTAAATGCGACGTAAGGCCTTACATACAAACATACGCAGATTGCAAAATTTTTTTGAAATTTGGACCTGTCTAGTGAAATTTGACATGCAATACTCTTCCATAAAGGAGCCAAAGTTTTTGAATCCAGTTGCAATAGTTCATACTTGATTGGTGTTAGATCCAAAAAACTCAGAGCTCGTCAAAGAGATTTCGTCTACTTTTTCCGCGCTAATGATTAGGTGACTACAGAAAGGGGATAACCAAAAGATGTAATGCCGAAGTCATACGAAAACACGATGACGTCAACTCAAAACTTTATTCAACTGAACTATCAACAAAGCAATGTTTGCTTTTATATACTAATATAAAATATACTAAGTGAATGCGAGCCAATATCAGAGAGTTCTGATTGAAAGACGGTTTCTCGTAAGTTTCGAGTCAAGCACTGGAAACCCGAAGGCGCTAGCGAAAGTCAAGTCATCTTGCTATTGATCTTACAAACTACTGATTGTACTCATTAAATCTGGCATTTATATGTATAATATTGGCAAAGTGGCAAAATGGCAACTTGGTTTAAATGACCAATGGCGTGAGCACCGCTGCTAGAGACAACGCAGAATATGAAATCCATTAAAAGGATTAGGGATGCATGAGATATATGGGAGATCCTTTTGAAAAACCAACTCTAAGTGCATTTTTTGCAGTTGTCTCTTCGACACTTAAATCAGGAATCGAAGTAGCAACCCTCGTATATGGAAGCTTTTTTATTAAAAAAGTTCTTGCAACAATTATATGGATGTGCATGGCTGTGTTAGTGTTAGTGTGAAGCGTTCAAGAGCATTTAAACTATTTGCCCAGCCAGTTCTAATGGACATCACGTACACTTATGCGATTTTTATACGCTTCATACGTTTCATAGGTATCATAGCAACCAATAAATGCAAACAAATAAACAAGCTGGTCCACATGGACGAGTGGCGGGTACATGAAAGCTTTTCTTATTTCACCACATGGCTCTGATTTTGAGTGCGTGTGTGTGTTTGTAGTTGGGAAACTCGGATGACATTGCGGAATCAGAGTCAATTGATACTTGGGCACGTGCGACGTTCAAATTGCAGAAATTCTATTAAAACGCAGGCAGAGGACTCAAACAGCGAACAGTTGGTCGGATTTTATTGCTTTTGTTTATCTTTTATATTTCTCGGATTGACTCAACGGTAAGCCACACAAAAGCGCTTATGCTAAAGCTCTGTGAGAGTGGTTTAAAATAAGGATGTGAATCGCATAAAAATATGAATTTTGGGCTCTTTTTTAGTCAGAATCAGCCGTTGATTTCAGATGATAATAAGTAAACGAAACGTCAGAGACTCGTCACGGAGTAAATCCGTTATGTGTCAAGTAATTGCTTATATAGGTAATAAATAAATCGGTCAAAGCTCTAAATTTAAGTTCAACTGCCGTTTGGACTGTTAAAGTGCTTCGAACAGACTTTTGCAAACACATACACTTAACACCGGAAGTTAGTAATTGAGGTCAACCCTTCGTGCTTATTTATGGCACGAGCTTGCGACTTATGGCCGAAAATGGCTAACTAAGGGATATTAAAATCAATGGCTTGATTAATACATAATGTAAATAAATA